GCATAAGATTGGACTACATTATTTTTAAGAGCTAAAATTGAATATATTATTAGTTGGATTAATATAACGTTGTTGTAAATATTTAAAAATTTAATTATTATATGGAACCTAGAAATCGAAGCTAATCGAACTGAATTGAATGAAACAAAACCTGAACGGTTCCGTAATTAAATTTGGACCCAACAGCCGTTTACTAAATATCCGAAAATTCGGATTCGATTCTCTTTAGAACCGAATGAATCGAACCCTAGAATAACTTTCCTTTGTTCTTCTTCTCCATTTCGACCTCAAAGCAAAAAGTCATTTTTATACCACAGGCATCATTGTGTGTTTGGGCAATCCGCAAATAAGTGCCCATTTTCTCTACAGCTATGACAGAGTCTGGAGTTCTTTCCTATCATTCTAACAAACCACATAACTCTGTGAATTCAAAATTCTGCAAAACTCAGACTCTATTAGTTTTCTTTACACCACAATAAAATACTAGGGTTCCTTAGACCAAATATATCATACTTACATAAAGTTTGATGTTCTCTGAAGACGATGCATTGAAGATGGACAAATTTGCCGCATGCGGTGGAGGTTCTCTATTGTAGCTTCAAAAAATTAACAACAGTGTTATTAAGTGGACGATTGATGAATTAAGTACCGACAGATTCTTCTCGTAGAGGGTTTTTTACAATTTAGGAGTAAAATGAAAGTGATACGGGGTACTTTCCTTTCATTTGGACCGGTTCAAACTTTTTCACCTCTCTTATAGATGTATGGCCAAGTCATGGTGTCAACAAACGGCTAATCCAAAATGTACATGTAACGTGATTGTTAACACATTGTCCTCCAATTCCTTCCCTTTTAAATATGATCTTAAGCTGACAAATTACCATCAACAAAATATTTTCCATTGTGATTGTGTTCATTGACTTCTTCGTAGGCGTTACGCATGCATATTACAATATGCAGTCTTTTATTACAAGTTCACATTATGTAAAAAATGACCTCTTTGTTTCTCATTGAGAACGAGTTGTACAAATCAACTTCAAAACTTTGAACTTTTTGATATAATTCCAGTCCAGTTCTAAAGTTTTTTAGAAAGCTCGAACTTTGTAAATAGTATCCACTAGACTAAGTTTTTTATTTTCAACTTCAAATATAGTCAGTCATCAGAAGTATGAGACATTGGCAACTAATTATTATGAAGCCCTTAAACATACTTTTTTTCAAGCATAGCATTACTTAAACCAAATAACTTTTCAACTTCTATTTATTTTCCATCGGAAATTCCATTATCAGGAGATCAAGACATGAATGGAATATGGAAGATAATGTAAATGGCTTAGAAATAGCAAACTAGAGATGAATCACATTGGATTATGTACATAGAGTTTTGAAAAGTGTTCCCAAAATAACACGTTAGTTTCAAAACATGTTCTGATGAAATTTTACATTTACAATGTCTGGTATTATTACCTCAAAAAGTGTTAAAATCACTACAACATACAACTTGAGGACAAAATATGGAGGAGCAATATGAGTGGCTTGAAACTAGTCCTAGTCTTAGTGAAGTGCAGAACACATGGTAGAGATGCCATTGTCATAAGAAACAACATACATAAAAAAATATACAAGATGCAACGCTGAACTTTTACAATGATAACATCAAACCTCATGCTGATTTTCTTTGTATAACAAATAGACAAGAAACCCTTTTGAAATCTTGTTCTTTGTCATCCATTTATGATGCTGAGTATTATATAAATTGAGATATAAGTTACTTGCTGAATGAGCAATGGAGAAATTTATAAGTTAATGGCTTAGTCGAAAGATATCTGCTAAAGTTTTCCTGTCTTCTTCTTCTTCACTCTTACAACACATACTACAATTGAAAGATGATTCTGCCTGACAAATTGATGTAAGAGCTCTATTTATCCATGGCAAAGCTCATTCAGCATGTGTTCTTCTTTAATTTTAACCGATAAATTGGAAAAAAACATGCATAAATAATAGTAATGCCAACAGAAGAGTACCGAACTTCTTATCTTTTCGTTATAGGGAAAGAGAGAAAACTATTCTAACTATATAATGAACTCAGAATAATAGGTACAATAAACACAACACACAACTATGTTCTTTGAGAAATCTAAACCACAAATCCTTTGAGTTTTGAGGTGTTAGAATTACAATGGTCTAATTGAAAATAGTAATTGCATTAAAATCTCTGTCATACAAATAGAGGCCTATGCTTCCAATTTTTCAAAAAATTATATAAATGTTTTCAAGATTATAAACAAATTGAAGAGAAATGAAAAGAAAGCAATTAAATAGAGATAGCTGAAACCATTCACAGAGAATCACAAGAATTATAACGACAAATTAAAATAGTAATCATAAAGAAAAGAAAAGAATAAAGGTTTTTCGAACAAACAATTTAGCAAAATAGCATATTGTATCTCGCCCAGATTTCAAAATAAAGATTTTGATTTCGAAGACAAGTATTCAACTTGAAGAATTAAAATTTTGGTTTTCGAAGTACCTTCAAATAGAGATGGCAGATAGGGGTGGGCGTGATTTCGATTGGATCGATTTTTTACCCAACCCATTCACGTGTTTCAACCCAACTCAATCAAGTTTCGGTCGGGTCGGGTTGGTTGGTTTAGACATTAAAAATTATATAAATATGCTCGATAATAAAAACCTATCAACCACAACGCTTCGACCATAAACAAAAATTGGTAATCATACATGAAGGAAAATGTATATATTTTACAACTTATTATCTCGCTTAAACAAAAAAACTAAGCCTGAATTTTTACATTTGAGAAACATAAATGAATAATCAACTTAAAATTTAAAGTTAAGAGTACTAAAAGGAATAAAGGTGCTATTAGCGTCAAGCCTAGATGCAAACATAGTGGTGATGATCAACTGGCTTGAACGAGAGAAAATGAGAAAGGGCGACATTTAGATTTAGGGTTATAGAGAAAGAGGAAGTATGAGAGAAATGATAAGACTTTGTAAGCTAGGGCTGTGAGGTTTCAACTTTTTAATAATTTTTATATTTGTTTTTAATTTTTTAAGTAGCGGTTGGGTTGGACAGATTTTATTGATTTTGATGAATCAACTCATTTTCTTTTAAAAAAGCCTAACCTAACAAAATTTTAAGAAAAAAATAATCCAAATCGATCAATTTTCGTGGGTTTGTTCGATTTTTGCCCACCCCTAGCTCAGTAGACACATAGGGAGAGAGAGAGAGAGAGACAAAGTAGAGGAACACCATTAGGATAGGCCTCCAAAATGTTGAGGCGGGGCTGACCTTGTAAATAATATTGGATACAGTGTCACCACTCATAGACACGTTATAAATTTTAATTTATTATTTTATTGACTTACAGTGCTCAATGTTACTATTATCTTGTTTGGGATCCATTTTTAAAAAAATGTATTTTTCAAAACTCATTGTTAAGTACACATTTTTTCTATAAAATAATGTTACATGTAAATTCAAAATATTTATTTATTTTTAATCACACATTCTTCAAAAAAATCATTATTTCAAAACATAATTTTTTTCCTAAAATCTTATTTTAATAGAGCCCAAATAAATTTCTCTACCAAACGTGCTATACTTTTATTTATTATTTATTTATTTTTCCTTTTTCAATCATCCTACGCATAACCATTGAAAATGACAGGCAACTACTGGTGGGCTAACGTTACAAAAGAAAACCTACTCGTCTTATCCATACATCTCTGTCATTAGTATGCCAATTGCCACCCTTTTTCTTCCACTCTATGGCTAATGTGCAAAAGAAATCAGATTGTCTACTCTACCACAATTTTATGTCACAAAGATTATTTAATTATTTTTATTTATGTAAAGAGTAATATTCTTTAACATAATTTGGCTTTTTTAATTGACAAATTATACTTGATGTACAACGAGTTGTCTTCCTAATTATTCGAAATTCTTGAATTACGGTTGAAAATTTGTCAGATTCATTTAGCATTTTTATCTCTCCGACTCATCCAAATCAGAGTGAAATTCTATTCCTTAAAAAAATAAAATAAAATAAAATAGTACTATTAAATTTTGTCCTAACTATGTTCCGGTAATTGACTTTTTGGGTTAGTTAGGATGTCTATTTTAAATTTTAATTACACTACTAAACTTAATACATGGAAGCAACAATAGTTAAGTCACAACCCGTTAGATATTAACCATATTTTAAAGGCACAGGGTTAAGATGAGGTAATTGCACATGTCACAAATCAAGTTTATATTGTGTCCAAATTTAAAAATAGGGAGGGAAGAAACAGACTGATGTCTCCGAAAATGATTGAATTTTTTTTTTATTTTTCAAAATGTCCAATCATGCGTCGACATGTGCCCCATCTGAAGTTGAGTTTAGATTTGAACCTAAATGTGTAGCATTGTTGGTTTATATTACTAAAATGCTTCTCACTGAAAATAAATATTTTACACTTGTTTGATCTTCATTATTTTCAAAATATATTTTTCTTTTTTCTTTTCAATCAGACATTTTTTAATAAAATAATATTACAAGCAAACATAAATTTTGTTTCTTATGTTTTAGTTACATATTTTCCATCAATCTACTATTTTAAAATGTGTTCGATAATAAAAACGGGGCTCGAACAGGCTCATTATGTCGATCTATTCATGAGGCCTGTTTGACCACCATTTTTTTGGAGAAAATGAATTTTGGAATATTAACCTTTTGGGGAATGTCTAGTTAGAAAATAGGGAAAAATTTTAAACTTATGTGAAGAATATTTTATCGTGAGGACGTGTGATTGAAAATGAGTATAAGAAAAAAGTAATTTTAAAAGAATGATAATCAAACGAGAGCTAAATTCGATGTCCCATTATTGGGACCCAGTAATCGTTATTTGACCATACATACATTTTAACATTCTTGTTGCACAATGTTCATATTTACGAACATTATTTGTTAATTTAACATCGTCCGTGTACCAAAACGACATCATATGGTGATGTGGGCGCACTATCTTGAATTGCTCGTCCTTATCTTACGCTAGTGGTGAGCCGGGTATAAACCTGCACACCACCGTTCCTCCTTTTCTTCAACCCCACTCCTCGAAGTTGAAGTAAAGATAAATTTCTCTCTCTCACGTACAAAAAACACGCACTAATTATGCATATATGTTTCTCTTTCTGAATGTAATTATTGGGATCTTGACGGTGAAATGTTGATTAGAAGTTCAAACATTGTACTTCGTTCTTGGATCAGACGGTGAGTATGAGTTTTTGATCGGTGTAGTTTTTAGCTTTTACTTGTAAGTTAATTTTTGGGAAATCTGCGCACGATTTTGGTCTGTTTGGTTTCTCTGAGAAAAATGTTAGTGAAGCGGAAAAATTTTCCAAATTAGAAAGATATTATCTTTATACAAACTTAAAAGTGCTTCTTTTATTTATTTATTTATTTCTTTTCTAGTTTTTTGTAATTTTCTCTTATTTGAGGTGGAATATTCTTTTTGAGGCTCTTTCATTGATCAAAACAAGAGAAAAAGTTAATTTGTTTAGAGTTTCTTTCCTTTTTATTGAGAGTTTTATTATTTTTACGCAAATATTTTTATGAATCTTAATCGACAGAATAGAAAATCTTCTGATATTTATGTTACTTCTGCTACAATTGGAGGGGATAGATATTATTAATTGACGAGCTTTTCTGTAATTTGCGACCGCAGTAGCATATATTTATAATCGTTTGGTTATTATGATTTTCTTACAACGGTTTTCAGGGGAAAAATATGCTTTTTGGTGGTTTATATTTGCTATATAATTTCCTCTTCAACGTTGATATCTTAAACAGGATCTGTGAAATCAATTGAGATTTTGGTGTAAATAGATAATATGGGGGGTGTGCTGACAGAGTCATGGTTCAGTAATATATGGAGGAGTTCGAGAAAGAGCATAGCACTGGAACCTGAAAAGCATGTGATAGGAATTTTAGCATTTGAAGTCTCAAGATTGATGTCAAAGGTGGTTTATTTGTGGCAATGTGTAGATGATAGGCAAATTGTTGGATTCAGAGAAGAGGTTGTAAACTCACTTGGTATTAGAAAGCTCGTTTCCGATGATGATGAGTATCTCATGGATCTTGCTCTCGCTGAGATATTAGAGAATTTGGGAAGTGTGGCCAAATCGGTGACTATCCTGGGGAAGAAGTGTACTGATCCAACATATCACAATCTTGAGCGTGTCTTTGAGAACCCAGTTGAGATTGATCTCAATTGGAGTGGTTGGCAATATAAGCTGAAGAAGATGGAGAGGGAGGTTAAGAAAATGGAAAGGTTTGTTGGCTCCACTGAGCAGTTGTTTCAAGAGCTTGAAGTGTTGGCAGAGCTTGAGCAGGGCCTGAGGCGGATGCAGACTAGTGCTGGTTTAAACCAGGTGAAATTGCTCGAGTATCAGCAGAAGGTCGTGTGGCAACGTCAGGAAGTGAAGAATCTGCGGGAGATGTCTCCTTGGGTTAGAACGTATGACTACATCATCCGCCTTTTGCTTCGATCCATTTTTACAATTATCGAGAGGATCAAACATGTATATGGGATAAACCATATTGAAAATGTAGAAGGAATTAATCATTATGAGTGCTTCCCTGATGATTGCCTTGCTCGTAATAATTCCATCTCTGCTTTTTTACAATTACCACTTTCTCCATCTGAAAACAGCCTGCCTAGATTTCCAGGTCCTTTTGGAAGGTCACTTTCAAATCTGGGTCTGAGCCGTGATAAGAATAGATCTAGGAACAAGAAGTTGCACACCCGCTCACTGTCGTCTCTCGGCTGTGGGAAACAGCAACAAACAAAATCAAGACGTTTTGATCCTGTTGGACCTTTCAAAGGATGCATGACTGGTGGAAGTGATTCACCTGTTTTACAGAGCTACACACCATCGAGCAGTGGCTCTTTGAGATCAAATTGTGCTTCTCAGAGATATGCTGATGAAACGAAAGACACCAATGCAGTTCCTATTGAACACCGTAGCATAACATCCAGTAAAGTATCTTTCTTCAATTACAAGCGACAGCTGTTAAATGCTCCTCCTCCTACTCTAGGCTATGCTGCTTTAGCTCTCCATTATGCAAATATCATCATATTAATTGAGAAGCTTGCTTCATCTCCTCACTTAATCAGCCTTGATGCTAGAGATGACCTTTACAATATGTTACCTGCAAGTATCCGAAGCTGTCTCAGGGCAAAGTTAAAGGTATTTTCCAAATCTTTGGCTTCACGTGTTTATGATGCTGCCTTTGCAGCAAACTGGAGCTTCGCAGTGTCTAGAATACTCGAATGGTTGTCTCCACTTGCTCACAGCATGATAAGATGGCATTCTGAGAGAAACTTTGAGAGGCAGCAAATGGTTTCCAGGACAAATGTGCTCCTTGTCCAAACCCTTTACTTTGCAAATCAAGAAGAGACTGAAGCAGCAATTGTGGAACTTCTCATGGGCCTAAACTACCTCTCGAGATTTGCTCAGGAAATTACTGAAAAACCATTCCGAGATTCTTCATGCAGCAGAGGATGCGATGGTAATATGTTCCCCAAAGATAACTATTACTGCAACATGATTCACCATGCATCATAAGCGAGGCGCACAAACCAATGGCAGGATTCATAGATTTCTTTTGCTTCTTAATCAAACTGGCACTGCAGTTTCATGAAATATCCTTCTTCAAGAGCATTCTTGAAGCCATAGGTACTTTTTTAAGTACTCAAATGAATCTCGTTGGCGCTTTCAAGTACCGGAGACATGTTTCTCCTCGCGCTGCACCATGGAGACATACTGATTTAGTTCGTATCAGAAAGTAGCTGAAATATTTCAGCATTCTCGTGTGGAAAGCTTTGTTCGAGCTTTTGAGTAGAAACCCATCCTTTAGAAGTCCTGAATTCCATTTGGTAATTAACATTTCCTTGTCACGACATTCTTTAGCTTATCTGGAAATGTATGTTAAGATTGCAAATACATATAATCAAGGTTGTATTTCAAATTTGTTTTCATTTGCAGTGTATGCAAATGTAAAGCAGTCTCCATTTTAGTGAACCTGTATAGCTAATGAGTCTTTCTCCATAGATCATTCGTGTTGTTTACATTGAGTTTCAATGGTGAACAAAAATTTGAATGTTTGGTTTAGGTTTGTACAGGACTTCCCCTTTTGTTTCAGATTATCAATTTAACGTTTGAGGCATTAAATTAGATATAACCAGCTCTTTACCGAGGTAAAGGATAGAGAAAACTTTGGTTGTGCTTCTTGTATGGTTTCTTCGGCAAAAGTAATCAAAATGTGACTTATTGTGGCAGTATGAATTTAGTAGAAGAAACCAGAGGCACGGCCAGTGCTCGTAAAAAGCCATTGAAGAGATCTACTAGGTATGTTTCAGTCTAAGTGTCACGTACATCATATTTCTTTTACTTTAAGATTTCTAATCACTTGATGCTACTTTATTGATATCTAGACGGCTACTTAGCCCTTGTTTGAGTCACATTATTGGAATGAAAATGCATTTTTAAATAGTGTAGATGGAAAATGTGTGGTTAAAAAATAAGGAAAAATTTTAGATTTGCGAGTAATATTATTTTATTGAAGAATGTGTGGTTAAAATGATGTTAAATCACTTTGAAGAATGTATTTTTTTTTTTTTAAATGTGACTCAAACAAGGCATTAATATCATTTAGGCACGTAGCTACCCGTTTAACTTGGGATAAACCTACTTCGACAAAAGATTTTGATAGAAAGCTTGATATAATTGCATGTGGAAGAAAGTGATTGAATGAAAAAATCGACTATATTTAGAATTATCCAATGATAGAATGTCACGTGACATTATGTCAAATTTAATGTTCCGGTAACATGATCGTTTAACTTGTGCTATCAATCATAGGACTTTTGTTCTTGCTTCTACTTTTTGTAGAAAAGTTTTCCCGAAAAGAACTTCTAGAAAATTATCAAATGTGTTCAAAAGTAACTTATTGATCATAGAGACAATTTTTTTACTTTTCAAAGGCTATATAAATCTGTCCTTAATTGCTCCAAGTCACTTACTTAATGCTCATAAGCATGAGAAAGGAGAGTGAACCACTCCAAATATG